TCTATTGTGGAATACCTTTGTTCGGTTTCATTGAGTGTTCTAGACGCAAAAGCGATTGGTTGATCGTGAGGTGGATTTCCTTGTGACAAGACGGCTCCAAGGGCGAAATTTGAGGCGTCTGTGGAAAGTACAAAGGGTTTTTCGAAATCAGGGTATTTCAGGATAGGTGCATTTATAAGAAGTTCTTTCAAATGATTGAATGATTTTATGAAAGGTTCATTATGAATGACTTTTGCACCTTTTTTTAGGCAGGAGGTCAAGGGCTTTGTGATTTTGGCAAAATCCTTGATAAATCGGCGATAATAACCGGCTAAGCCTAAGAAAGATTTTATATCCTTTTGTGTTTTCGGGATTGGAAAATGTCTTACAGCTTCGACTTTGTCGGGGTTGGGTTTGACTCCATCGTTAGTGATTTTATGTCCAAGATATGCAACTTCTTTATGTAGGAATTCAGACTTATCTAGCTGGATTTTGAAGTTTGAATGTCTGAGGCGCTCAAAGACGTTACGAAGTCGTTGAATGTGTTCTGTTAGAGAAGTGCTGAAAATGATTATATTATCGAGGTAAACTAAACAAGTTTCGTTCTGTAAGCCTCGGAGAACGTTATTCATGACTCGCTGGAAGGTCGAAGGGGCATTTTTAAGACCGAAGGGCATTCGTTTGAATTCAAAATGTCCGGTGTCGGTGGAAAAAGCTATCTTAGAAATATCACGGGGATCAAGTTCGATTTGATGAAATCCATTGGCCAGATCGAGTGTCGTGAAATATTGAGCCTTGCCTAATTTATCCAAATCGGAAATATTGGGCAATGGGAATTTATCGTCAATCGTTTTATCATTAAGTTTCCGATAATCGATTACGATTCTCCATTTTCTTTTTCCAGTGGCGTCCATTTTTTTTGGGACAATCCATATAGGACTACTCCAAGGTGACGTATAGAATGCTGAATAATGCCGTTTTGTAACATTTGGTTTATTTGGGTGGTAACTTCTTGTTTGTGGACTGCAGGGTATCGATAGGTTTTAGTAAATATTGGAGTTTCATCAGTGAGATTTATTTTATGTTTAATTTGGTTGGTAAAAGTTAAGGGCGAACTTTCACAGAAAAATATATCACGATACTGATAACAAAGTTCTCGAATGGCTTTGTATTCTTCAGTATTGCAATGAGATAATCTTAAATTTTTAAGGTTTTGTTTTTGCAAATTATCGAAATGGTCATTATTATTAACGTTATAATTGTTGACCTCAATATTTTCATAGAAATTAATCTCAGCGTCGTCAAGTAATTCAATATCTAGTGGCTTATATATGCTTATCTTCACAGGGTTTTCGCGTGGGTTTAATATGGTTGTTAATGCAAAAGAGTCGACTATATTTACTAAAGATTCTGGTATTTCAGCGGCACCAAAGTCTGTATAACTTAAAATACCTATACCATTTTCTTCACTAACTGGTACTTTTATTTTTTGACAAGTTCGAGGCGGAATAATAGCTTCAAATGTTTCAAAATGATGTAATGATTTCTCGGGTTTCAATTCGCTTTGAAAATACAAACGAAACGTTGCGTTTGGCGTTTTCAAGTATTTATTTTTCAGATTAATTTTCGCACCAATTTGTATAAGGAAATTTGTTCCTAATAATCCATCAAATTTTGGGGAAAAATCAAATAAATAAAATTTGTGATTTCCTTGACAATTAAAAGAAGGAAATATAGGAATTTTTACTACCTCATTATGAATTGATGTGGCATGTGCCGTACGCATTGAAAATGGTTCAAAGTCGATTGAATTTGGATATATTTGATAAGCAAGATTGGGTTTGACAAATTTTTTTCCGCTGCCAGTGTCGATGAGAAATTTGGCATTTAATTCGGGTAATATAAGAATGGGTAAATCGGAATTAGAATAATTATTGAGATTTATTACGTCACATTGTTGGTTGGGGTCACTATTTGAAAATTTTCATCACAACCTGATGGGTATCCATAATTACTAGCATTTTCGTAATTTTGGTTATAGGGATTGTTATTGTCATAGTCATTTTCTTCAAATGAAATTTGGTTATCATCAGAATCAGGGTAATATTGCTGTTCGGAATATTGATTCTGAAATTGGGAATAATCAATTTGATCATTGGGGTCGATTTCGGTGTTATTTGGTAAGGGTTCAACAGATTGATTGAAAAGTTCTTGTGAATTAAAATTGCGTTGGGGCGCTTGAGCGAATCGTTTTTGTATTGACCGATTGGCTGCAGTATTTATGGAAGTTGTATCCATTGGTTCCACTGTTCTGCGGGATACGCTAGAATTATTTTGGAAAACTCTAAAATTATTATTGAAATTTTGGAGGTTATTTGAGAAAGGTTTAAATTGGGCAGAATTTTGGGCATTTGTTCTAAATTGGTTGAAATTTGGGTTTCTTTGTGGGTTAAAGTTATTATAGAAGTTTGAATTATTATTTCTTGGTAAATTATTGTTAAAATTTGGTACATTTTGCGGACGGTATGCATTAGCAGAATAATGCATTGGTCTTTTGAATTTATTCGCATTTAATTGAGAATTTGTATTATTCCCAGAAGGTGTTTGCTTATGCATAAGATTAGAACTTTTTTTAAATTGAAGAAAATTTTCTTCTTCTAAAGCAAATGACATAGCTTGCTCAAGAGAGTCAGAATTTTTCAATCTAACTATCAATTGCATGTGATAGTTGAGCCCAGTAATAAAAGTTTTCATTACCAATTTACCATACTCGTCGATTTTTAATAATTTAATAGCACGAGTATCGTTAGAAACATTAACTTTTGAAAATAATAAGCTACGGGCGTCTTGCAAACGTATACCAAATTGTGGAGGATTTTCATTTTTTTCAGGTTTCATTGTAATGATGTCCTGTATAACACAATCAATTGATCTTTGATCGGAGAAAGTTGCAATAATCGCATTTTTTACTAAATCCCATGAGTTTAATTCTATTCTAGAAGCAATTAAATCTGCTGCTCTACCAACTAGTTTGCTTAAAATTGTATCGAAAAGAGCAATATTAATGGCTGCGCCAGCATTATTGGGATCGCTATGAGCTGTTAAAAAATTAGTACAAGCATTTATAAATCTATTAACTTGTTTTGGATTACCATTAAAACTAGGTATGTTATCTGCTTGATAACGAACTAGAGTATAATTTGCCATTTTTAAATTATTTTCTTAAAGAATCGAAATTAAAAATTGACAAAAACAAAAATTTTTGTTTTGTTTTTTGGTTTTAATAAAAATAAGTAAATAACTAAGTAATAAGGTAATAGTTATTTATACACCAAGTGAGTTAAATGAATGTTTATTCATGAGAAGAAAGTTTAACCCACGAGCCCTAGCGAGTGGGTTAATTTTCTTCGAATGAATAAACATTTTAACTCACGTGATGTATACAAAATTTTATCCCATTTTGTAGAAATTTGAAAAATAAAGTACATGGAAAAATGCCGGGAGTGAGTTAAAAATATTTTAAATCACTGAGGTTTCAGATTTTTAGTTGGGCAGAGTGACTTAAAATGCTGAGAGTGAATTAAAATGTTTTTAAATCACTGAGGTGATAAACGTCTACTTACCTTTATTGTTATGCGTTTAATAATGTCATTTTTAAACGTCAAAATGGGATAAAAATATATAAAAGGTAAAATTAGGATTTTCCTAACTTGTCAAAACAGTGTATAGCAATAAAACAATCAGGAAAAATAAAAAAATGGAAACTGAAAGGATTCACTTACAGTAGCAGGAATACGATGATTTTCTTCATTCTTAACCTAAGCCCAATAGGAAAAGCGATGCTTGTCTTCTCCCTGGAACTACCTTATGAGCGTCTGGACGATTTTTGTTCCGTTTGCTCGCACCAATAGGAATAGGACGATTTTTGTTCCCGGTTTCCCTGGTCTGGGTGAGTTGCGTTGCACCACTTTCGAAAATTTCGTTCGATATTGCCGTAAAGCGTTGGAACGAACCGATAACTTTGTCGCACGATGCGCGAAACCGTCAACAATATCCTACCGACTGCGCCAGTTAACAACTCGAATTTTGAGAGTTAGTTTTTAAAAAAATTATTTTCAATGGTGGTTACAATACAACTGACTTAAACCTAAGTAAAATTAATATTTATAATTATTAGCTTTGCTGACAAAGCTGTTCCCAAGAAATGCAACGGTCGGTCGGGTTCTGAAAACAAAGTAACAAACTGCTGAACTCTTAGGTTTATGAGAATGTAACTTTATCAACTGAATGATTGGTATTGTACCTTCTATTTTGTTTCTATAACAAAAAATTTTGGATACTGAACAATTATTCAGTTACTCAACTGAATAATTATTACTGAGCATGAATAATTGTCATTATACACTCTATTTTGTTGCTACAACAAAAAATTTGGTTACTGAACTATTATTCTGGTAAAAATATGTATAACTATTAATTTCTGGTTGTTATAACTATGAAGGTGGATAGGCGCATTTTCATATGCTCTTTTTGGTTGATTTGACCTATCATTTTCTTTGAGTGTAAGGATAAATTAATAAAAAATTGATTTTAAAATAAGATAGGCGCCAGATTTTTTTTAAATTCCGGATAAGAATACGTTGAACTTTATTCATTCATATGCATATTTAGCATACCACAATTTACTATCTAATACATTTTGTTGCTTTATTAGATAAGTATTATCCGTAGTAGGCCTAATTATTATTTGCTCTATAATTGAACCAAAAAGCTTTGCATAAACAAAATAGCATGATTTATTTAGTGCAATTATCCAAAAAATTAAAATAATGTCTTGTCACGATGATATTGCAGGTTTTTGAATCTTAAGCAAGATGATAAACCTGCCTTTTGAGATAACCTAAATTAAAAAACATACTAAAGGAAGCTTAAATATGGTGGTATGTATCAGTGACCACTACCATACTTCCTGTGATTGCACCAAAAAGCCCAAATTGAAAAAAAAAAAATCACACAAACTATTAGATAGTTAATAACAATTTTAATGCTTAATGTTTATTCTTCTAGATTTTCTAAACAAAAACAACCATAGGAAAATTAAAATAATTCCCAAAATATACAAATTAAAAACAGTTGATTCCTTTGGCATTTCGCATTTACTTATAGCGTAGTTGTTTGGAGTGAAAACACCCTGTAAAACAAAAACCAACAATCATTATTGAAAATTGTGTGAAATGAAAATTCATACTAATTTCGTAATACCTTTTTATCATAATAATTGAACAATACACTTATCTCTTGACCTGAACCGCTTAATTATCTAACTACGAAAAAATTATTTGTTTTGATCAAATTTAAACACTTGGCAACCAAAAAGAAGCAATTATCAGTTGAAATTCTTACCAGGGCATAATTTGGATTGTTCTTGTTACGCCAACTGAAACTAGGAATAGTTATTTCTATCCCACCAATAGGAAGCTGTCTAGTACAGCCATGATGTGTGTGTCCGGATAAAGCCAAACGAGGTTGAACCTTAAAGAAATTAATTGATTTGAACTATGTTTCTTCCACTTCTTGATTTGGTCCTTCTTATAGATATTTATAGTTACCTGTTTTAAAATCTGATATGTAGCTTCTTTGCTTAAACATTCCCAGTTTTCTCGGAAAAGTTCTTCTTTTTCTGGCATAGGAGCGGCATCAAAATCGGTACACTCTTTGTCAGATTCACGGTATAAGGGATAATGCTAAAAGAGAACAACCAATTAAATACAATAGTAGATTTTGTATGTAAATAAATATAACAAATTACCTGCATTAAAATTGGTCTGCTGTATTTTGGAAGGGTAAGTGATGGATCGCAGCCTTTGGTGGAATTTTTCGAGCATTTCAGTATCTCTACAAGAGGAATTATTGACAATGATACAAGTACATGATACAAGTAGTAGTACAAAACGACATTTATAAGATAGAAATAATCAAACCTAATACTCAAAATCCTTACAATTATTATTTTCCCATAGTGGTTTCTTGACAAAATAGCGAATCAGTCTGAAATAATAGTTGTTTGTATTCAGACCTAATTCTAGATTTATTTGGATTTCCAATTTCAATTCAATACTCTACTTACTTTCAATATTTCTCAGCTCTACTTCCGCAGGTTGACACAAAAAACAACCATCTCCCTCAAGCGCCATACTATTAACCAAAACAAAATGATTGCCTCTTAAACTAACTAGCTGAACCGGTGGAGATTTGAAGCCTTTTTCAAATCTTTTTTGAAGATATGGACTTATTCTACAAAAGCATTTCTATATACCTAAATAGAATTTTTATTGAATTTTTCTTTACCTATAATGAAATCCAATATCATGATTCCCAACAACCACATACATTTTTGTCCCATCAGGCACACTAAACAAATTATAAAACCTATCAATATAATAATCAAATTCCTTTTCACTGCAAATATGCCCTTCGTCCATTAAATCACCCAAAACGAAAACCAATTCGGGATTATGTAGGGTGATGGCAGTTTGGAATGCTCTGTACATTTGCCATTCTCTGCGTAGTTTATCAAGCCAGTGGCCTCTTTTGGAGCCTAGAAGATGGGTGTCTGCCAGGACCATGATTTTCAATGGTTTTTCTGTAGATGATGGTATTGTTTCGTCTGATTTGGATGGGTCCAAAGATGGCCAAGAACACTGAAAGAATATATGAAATGTTTTTGTAGTAAATTCATCAAGCCAGTCAAAATCAGTTGAGTCTGAGTTTGGTCAATTAGTCACATGTTTGTTGAAAATTAAAGGGGGGGTTGTAGGCCAATTTTTCATAGACCTGATGCCAAGCCATTTGCTCTACGTGGAAAAGTTAAATGTGAATTGTCAAATATGGAATTATTTCCGAAGTAAGTTATAGTAACTGGGCAAGCCTCATTGTTATAGTGCCCAATAAGAATTCGGGTGAAATAAGAATTTGAGTGGATTTAAAAACCTTAATACTGTTTTAGAAGAGTCAGACCATTGTTCCTTGCCTCTTCCAAATGATATTTTTGCTTGTTCAAGTAGAGTTAAAGGGAGCATACTAACAGCTTCAAATTAGTGAAAAATCCAGAGAATTACTCACAATAAATAAGCATTTGGGTCTGTTCACCTACCTATAATAGGTTACCCTTCGGCATAAGTGCTGTTCCAGCAACTTTCCAGAGCACCATGGATACCATATTGTAACGGTTGGCAAATTGTAAAGTGTATTTAAATGATATTCTGGTTTTTGGAGAATCCTTGGAAAAATGTTACAAAAATGTAGCCAAGGTGTTTACACAACTTCACAGTCAATGAAAAAAAATGTGAATTCTTTGAAAGAAATGTTGAATTTTTGGGACATGTCATAGATCGAAATGGTATACACCCAACTGATGAAAAAATTAAATGCATTTAAGATGCTCCTATTTTGTCAAACTTCACTGAATTAAAATCTTATTTATTATGGTAAATTTATTCCCAGCTTTTTACCAAATCAAAACCCTTGTATCAAAAACATTGTATTACTTACTTACTTGTGTAGAGCAGGAGTAGATTTCATATTCAGGTTTTCTAAATTCTGTTGAAGACAAGCTTAAACTATATTTTAGAAAGAGATAAGAGCTCTCAATTCCCAGTGAAACAAAACTGTCTGTAGTTAGGTAATAAGGTGGTAATTCAAAAATGTTAATTACGTCATATTGTTGGTGGCCAGGTTCAAACCAAGATTTGGAGCATATTATCCATTCACAATTCAATGTCCACAGGTACAGGTAAAATTTATCACCTTTTAGTGCTATTTGATAGAGAAAGCTGATAAATTTACCTGCACCTGTGAACATCGGATTGTGAACAGGTTATATAAGCTGTTGTGAAGTCTGCCAACTGCTTCATAATTTTACCAACAGTAATTCTTTGATTTCATGGTCATCAGCACCAAGTAATTTCTTTCGAGTAAACATTGATTTCTTCCACAAATTTGGTCGAAATTTTTTTATTTGAATAGATAATAAATCAAAGTGGCTAGAAGTGAAACATATGAAACTTGGCATTACCGCAAAAGAGATAGTTCAGAAATTGAAAGAAATTTTAAGCTTCATAATTCATAGGTTTGCTATCTGAACTAGTGTCTTATAATGGACCTCCCTTTGGTTTTGTAGAATTTATAATGTTCTGTCAATCTAATGGCATTAAACTTGTGAAAGCACCCCCATATCACCCTCAAAGTACCTAATGGGTCGGCTAAAAAGGCAGTTCAGACAGTAAAAAATGCTTTGGAAAAAGCTATACTTAACCTCTCAAAATACAAGATGTTATACTCCATCCACTGTCACAGGCTTGTCACCAGCTGAATGTGTACTGAAGATAAGACCCAGAACAAGATTTTTGATCTTTTAAAACACGATTATAATGCAAAGATTAGGACAGCTCTAGATCGTAGTAAATGTTCTAAGTTTTACCATGTTGGTGATCAAGTTTATGTCAAATATATAAATAGAAAGATATGGGTAGAAGCAAGAAATTGTTGAGGTTCTCAGTTATGCAACATATTTTGTCATGTACGAAAATGATATAGTGAGATTGGTACATGCTGATGGCACCCATCATGTTTTCTATGACAAAAAGATGATTATTTCAACAACTATGAACTTTACTCTGAACCTCTCTAAAAATATTGCAATAACTGACTATGTCCATAACTCTAATAGTGACCAGTCTCAACAGTGGTAGTGATAATAACAAAAGACTGTAAGTTTTTCAAACACCCATAAAGATAAAATCTGGGTTAGTCCGAAAAAAACCACTCAATGCTACACCATCTTCTGGATGAAAATTATGCAATTGGTGCTGTTTTTCTTGATTTGAAACGTGCTTTTGAAACAGTGAATAGGTCTATGTTAATAGCCAAATTGGAGAGATATGGTATAGCTGATAAAGCATTGCAGTGGCTTTGTAACTACTTGGACAAAAGATTGCAGGTAACCAAAATCAATGGACATACTTCGACCGAAATTTTAAATGACGTAGGCGTTCCGCAGGGTAGCACTTTGGAACCACTGCTATTTATCCTTTATATTAATGATATAAACAGATCAATAAAAAAATGTTCAGTCCATTTATTTGCAGATGACACACTGTTGTATTTCAAGTCTAAAGATATGAATGACCTAGTTGAGACCTTGAACATTGATTTGGAACACCTGCAAGTATGGTTCAATATTAATTCTCTCAAATTGAACTTATCTAAAACAAAATTTATGTTAATAGGTGGTAGAGCAGATAAAGAATCAATTACACAAAATAATCTTCATGTTAAAATCAGTAGTCATATTATTGAAAGAGTAGAGACACATAAATATCTTGGATTTGTTGTTGACTCCTCACTTACATTTAGGGATCACATTTTGTATACAATCGAAAGAATTACCAAAGGTGTAAATTTACTGTCTAGATTCACATCTTTTTTGTCACAATGGACCAAGCTTACTATCTATAATACTTTGATCTTACCACATTATATCTTTAGTTCCTCGATCCTGTACCTGTGTAACAAAAATGATCAGAACAGATTGCAAAAATTGCAAAATAGGGCAATGAGAATTATTTTACGTGAAAGGCGTGAAACGCCTATAAAAAATATGTTAGGAAAACTAAATTGGCTTTCTGTTGAAAAATTTCTCATTTACCAAAATATGTTGTTAATTTATAAAATGAAAAATGAGCTAACACCTACATATTTGACTGAAAAATTAAGAAGTCATTCTTCTGTACATTCGTACCCTACTAGGAATCGTAACAATTTTTATGTTACAGCAAAAAAATAAAAAAGGAAAATGGTTTATACCATAAGGGTTTAATTTATTTTAATGCTTTGCCTCAGCAAATAAAGGACGCCCCAAATATTAATTTATTTAAAAGAAAGTTAAAGATTCATCTTATGGGAGAATAATACAGTAATACTTGTTTCATCTTTGTTGTTTTTGTTGAATTTTGTATATCTTTGATTTCTGTGTTTTTCAAGACTTGCATGTTGTTTGTAAATCATTATATTTGTTGTTTACTATACACATTTTAAACTTAGGATTTTTATTTTTTTTGTTTTTTATTATGTAATATGTAATGAACATGTAGGATAATGACGCAAGTGACATATATATGTATATTATTATATTTTATATTCTATTGTAGTTTTTTAAATTGTTGCTATATATTTTTATTTCATATTTTATACTGTATTTTGCATTATTGTAATTTGTATTTTAGTAGGCGTATTATGCAGTATGTAATAATTAATTTGACTTGTATGCTCATTTATTTTTGTAATTAGCCAGGTGCTAAATAAAGGATTAATATATGGGTGTATATTTTAAGTGATACCACTATTGCTATATCCGAAACGGTAAGAGCTACAAGGTCGGTTAAATTAGGAAAAAGTTGCCTTTTTTGATGCCCATTTAAGACTCGTTTACAGTGTTGCCAAATTCTTTTTAGTTTATGAAATACAGGGCGATTTCTAAGAAACGCCCAAAACTATTTCATCAATTATTTTGAAAACTATTGATTTTCGAGACACAATTTAAATTTGAAAGTTTTTTAATTTTTCTCGCTCTACAACATGGTGTCATCAAATTTCAAATCCGATGTTTCGTAATCGGGCTACCATCATCAACTTCATTTTTTTAAATACGGACCTGGATTTTTTATGTCATTTTTAGAAAGTGCCTATTATTCCCTTTGTAAAAATGACATAAAAAGACCAGGTCCGTATTAAAAAAAGTTGATGATTGAAGCTCGATCACGAAACGTCGGATTTGAAATTTGAAGATGCCATGTTGTAGAGCAAAAAAAATTATAAAACTTTCAAATTTAAATTGTGTCTCGACTATCAATAGTTTTTGAAATAGTTGATGAAATAGTTTTTGGCGTTTTCAAGAAATCACCCTGTATTTCATAAACTAAAAGGAATTTGACAACACTGTAAAAAAGTTTTGAATGGACATCAAAAAAGGCAACTTTTCTCTAATTTAACCGACCTTGTAGCTCTTACCGTTTCGGATATAGTAATAGTGGTATCACTTAAAATATACACCCTGAATATATATATATATATATATATATATATATATATATATATATATATATATATATATATATATATATATATATATATATATATATATATATATATATATATATATATATATATATATATATATATATATATATATATATATATATATATATATATATATATCTCCAAATAAATATTTGAAAGCTGAGCATACTGTAACCAGATCCGGTAGGTAAGTAAACGCCCAGAAAAACTAATATTTAAACTGTAAAATTTAGTTTTTTTTTTTAAGAAGGGACAAAATCTGGTGTTTAGTATTCTAGAGGTGATTTCGCCTCATTTTGGTACCCCAGTTTGGTCTGTCAAACAGGTACAGGGTACAGTCACGGAAATAAAATTTTCTACATTGAAGACCTAAGTGTACGAAATTTTATTTCCGTGACTGTACCTGTGTGACAGACCAAAGTGTTTAATGTATTCTACTGAAAATACACAACACAGAGGAACAGGCTATAGAGGAACTGGTTACAGAGGAAATTATAATGGTAATGAATATCAATACAGAAACAATGATAGAAGCAAATTACATGAAAAAGCATGACAGTCAGGA